TTGTTCTGGGCCCTCAAGAGGATTTCGGATACGTTTAAATGGGGTACCTCTCCAGGAAGAACGTCCCGCTCGATCTCGCCCGAAGAGACTCAAAAGGTCCACGTCCACTTCTCATGACATCCATTATTTGAACCTACACTTTTTTTATAACTTTCATAAGTAAAATTTTATCACGTAATAATATTAATAAACTGGATTTGTTCCTGGTTGCCTATTTATTGTCCTGATATCAAAAATATAAGTTAAAATGGAAAATATCAAGAGTGTATGAATAAAGAAAATGATGAAAATTTTGACTTTTCACCGGTGAACGATAATGTGGGAAGGAGCCAAAGAAAATTTAATGCTCTACAGCTTTGTCGAAGGCGGCTTTTTTATCAGATCATCGGTTTACAGGAAATAATGAAAAACGTGAAGTAAAAACGGATTTGTTAAAAATTTCCGACTTTCCGAAGCTTATATCTCGGAAACCGTTCGGAATTTTGAAAAGTGTATAAGACCAAATTGTAGACAATTTTATGAGCTTTAATTTTGCTAATAAACAATTTTTTCATACGACGCACCGTTTTCGAGATATCAGCGGAAAACCGAAAATGTTGGATCTCTGCGCCCCTCCCCTCGGGAAGGCTCCGGTCGGAATCCGGGGACTTTGAGTATGTTTACCTCCTAAGGGGTCCAAACAAGCGTCTGAATGCTCGTTCGTTGCCTGGACTATGAAATGGACTTGCGATACGCAGGTGGCGCACATTAAAAACAATCTAGCACGAGAGAGGGTGGGTCTCTAAAAAATTTGCGGATAACCTCAAAGTACAGGAGGCAATTTTTAGTCCATAAATAAAAGTATTGTAAAATCTGGAAATAAGCCTAGAATTGTTTAAGCAAAGTGTACGTAAACTTACAACGATGTGTTGGTCTTTTGAGTGGATGTACTCCAGATAATGTCCACATAGGAGGGAGTTCACCCTCGTAAAGTACTTTACGTATCGGTTTGCTCGTTTTCGGGCACATAAAAGAAATGTAGGTACAGCAACTGACTAATCAATGTAGGTACGTTAGCCCCGGTTTTTTTGGATGTTTTGCGTACACAAAGGGCTGACCTTCAAAATTGTAAACGAAACGAAATACGCACCCTTTACTTTGTACCCGCGTTGGTTGCTCTCGATGTTAAACAATACCATGAATACGCACACATACACCGCAATTTAAGAATCGTGGCGGCTGCTGAACGCGCGCGGATTACACGAAATTTCAGCGCCAGCGACGCGCCGGGTACTGGTGGTTTCGTGCGCTGCTGGGGCGTCCCAGGCGTCGAGTCGATCGCGTCGACCGTGAACATTTCACATACAAAACGCAGGCGTCCTTTCAACCACCGTGACGTCACCATGTACCAAAACGTCATCGTAAACTACCCTTGAATTGTGCATCCACCGAAAATGTAATGGCTCATCCCCAAAAATACGCGAAATTCGCTTTTTTTTCGAAAGCTCCCCGTTATCGATTTGCCCAAATCCGTCCACTTTGCGTGCCCGAAGCGGCTAATATATTTGCACTTGTTACATGAACTTGGCTCGAACGTCACTCACAGAAGTGCGGCATAACGCCTTACTTACGTCCCTTTTAATTAAATTTCACGAGTCCGCATAAAAGCGTGCTTAGAAAATATGCGCCATTTCGTTATTTATGTTTGACATGACGGCAGTGGTACTAAAACTTGCGCAAAGAAATCTATTCGATACCTCTAAAGGTCTTTTTCTTTTTATTGTTTTTGGCAACTCTCTTTTACTGCCAAAAACCCTTTTCCCGCAAATGGCATAAACTTTAATGAAAAAACGTATAGTGAAGGAAGTAAAATGTAGAAGAGCTCCCTAACATTCATAATAGAACGACCTTAGGGGTCATGGTACAATTTACAGGGCGGACGCATTTTAAAAGCGCAATTTTTCGGAGGGCAAGCTGGGAATTATCGAGACAGTTCCCAAAAAATCTGGAACTATTCGCAACTAAGCAGGAGGACGTGCCATACTTGTACAGTTCACGCCCAATCATAATCTAAGCAGACAACGGGAGTTTACGCGTTAAGAAACGAGTGATCTCGATGAAGCCCGAACCGCGGAATTAATCATAGTGGACATAGGGAACCCGCAACCGAGACGAAGCAACAGTGCGCGACGGAAGAGACTGTGGACTGGTGGGGGAGCAGAGTTAGGAGAATGATAATGGTTGACAATGTGAGGAAAGACGGTTTTCTCGAGCGCCACCGGGTGATATTTCCTTGCCCCCGGTCAACGTCTGTGGTTCCGGAACGGTGCGGTTGCCACGGGGAACCCAGTCAGAGAACGGTCATCGAGGTCGATCACTGGCGAAACCCTAAAGCAGAACTAATGAAAGTAGATGCCCCCCTTAGAATCAACGGAAATGAAAATCCCCTCTACATCACGCTCGTATATTTTATAGAATTTCGCAAATACGAAAGGGAACGCTAAAAATTTAATTAATTTCTAGGTTCCCTGCCATCCTAAAAATATGGGAGGGAGCTCAAACGTCTTGATAAATTAGATGCGCTTCCAATGATACTAAACAGTCTAATCAGCCGTTTTCTGGAACACATCTGATTACCTACCGGAAAATTATACTTACTTAATTGACCGGGTTGAAATTCTAAAAATCGAAAGTCCAATAAACACCCATTGAATTTTCGGGCCAGGCATAGACCTGTATTATCTACGTAAACTGCACTACCTATCTGGCCGTAATACTCATTTTAACATTGGAAAATCAAAATCGACTGATAATTAACTAACGAAGATCAGAAAATATTATTTTTCTCTCATCTTCCAAATTGGCTTTTGGGTGCTGCAACAATAATTTAAATATCACCACGGGAACGGTTACAAAGTGATAAATTGGCGGTTAAAACAATTAATTCGTACTTCATTGTTGCCTCTTGGAATATAAATAATTCTGGAGGTTACAGAATACACCTGGATTTGTCGAAGAAATGGAAAGATACAAAGAAGAGAGATACAGTTATGTTACATAAGTAGATTAGAGGAACAATAAAGAAATAAGAGAGAGTAGAGAGGAAATGAAGGGGAAGAAAGGAGTGGTGGGACAGAGTGTAGAAAAACAGACAGAATAATTATGGGGAAAGAAAGATGAGGAGAGACTGAGAGAACAAATAAAGCACACAGGAAAATGCATGTTACTAAGATATTACAAGAGGAGGTGATACAGGATGAAGAAGGAGAAGAGGTGGAAAGAGACGAGATATCAAGAAAATAATCTAACAAATAAACAAAAATGTTCGGTGTACTACGTAAAGGAACAACCCCAGCAATACAAAAGTGCTTTACATGCAGGTATGAATGTCTTAAAAAATTTGGCAAACCTAAAGTAGACAGAAATTTATAAATAAAGGGTTGTTTAAGGGTTGGTTACAAATTATTTAAACATTATCTAACAAATAAACAAAAATGTAGGGTGTACAAGGAACGAAAGCAGATTCTGGTAAACTAAACAGTGAAGAAAGGGAAGGAAGAGATCAAATAAGAAATGATGCTAAGGAACCAAATAAGCAAGATATGAAAAGGAGGAGGACTACCGGAAGAATGGAAGGAAGAAGATTTGCAAAAGAATAGACAAAGACTGTGGGGAAGATTATATTATATTGAATGAAAGATTAGAAGAATGAATAGAGAAGATTTTAGAGGAACCTCACATGGATTTAGAAAAAGGAGAACTATCGGTTGTATTGTGTAAACAACAGCATTTCGGTCTAAACACCAAAATTAATGACGGTATACCCTGTATATGAGACTATTATAATTTATTAAGTGTAAATCTGAAGGATCATCACGAATAAACACAAAGTTGGTTTATTGTATTTGAATTTGTTATCTCAGTGGCTATTTTTCCTTTTAGAATTGGTTGTAATTGCGTAATATTGTTTACATATTTTCGCGATTTTGTAATTATTAGATGCTTTAAGTAAGACACATCTGGTCAAGTTTGCTTTATTTAAAAATAAGGTTACATTTGGTCGTTTGCGATTAGTCTTTTCAAGCGAAAATTAATTAACGCACGTGTTATATCGCGGTTAAGAGATAAGGCGTTTTACGATGTACGCGTTATTTTCGAGGTAAGTGTTCTTTCAAAGCTGGCGTTACCAAGTCCGTTATTTGAATGGAGGAAGGAGTTTGTTTGATGGAGGACGTGGTGTTTCTTTAAATACTGGAGTCGACGTAAAAACGAGGCCGCTGCTAGCTGTTAGTTGTCAGCTTAGACCTTTCTAAAAGGTTTGCCTCTCATAAAAAACCTGTGAACGTCCTTTTAAGGCCCTTAAAAAATCTTAGAAAATCTCATAGATCACAAAAGGCTCATCTAGAACGCATCTGTTGTCAGTTACCACGGCAGCGGACCTCTCTAGCGCAGCAGCTCTCTTTTGCCGTGACCAAAATTTCGTTAGACACAAAATATGCTGCTGTGCTGTCGGTATAAAATTGACGCGAGACTCTAAAGTTTCGTTGATTCCGTTTTAGTTTCATATAAATAGCTGAGTACACAGCTAGACGAAATTCGAGGCGTGCCGATAAGCGTCGCTGACTTAGCCAGCAAGTAGCGATTTAACCAGTGCAGAAAGAACGATCATGTAATCACGGCTATAACGCGAGTGTAGTATCGAGGTGAAACACCGGAAATGCTCGGGAAACGTCTTTATTACAGTTCATGAACAAATTGCATAATAATAATAATAATAATTGCATCTTTGTTTGTTTTTCAATTAGATCAAATTAGTTTAGGTTTGTCAAACGGATACTTCACTTCACGATTATTATTGCATGTTTTTTGGGTAAAATTCCTTATTTACCATTTAAAATTATGTTAAAAACTCAACCAAAATAGAACACACTGTACAAAATTGGCTATAATTTTTTACCTCTCGCTTTTCTCATCTGACCCGATTAGAGTAGTCCCCAACCTGTGCGTATCAAATGAAATAATCAACACTATTTATTTATTTAAAAAGTTGACAATTGATTTTACACAACTGATGAGAATTAAAGAATGTAATGTAGACTATTGCGGGCAAGTTCGTCTAGGAGCAAGTGTCATTTTGTCTGGGAAATTTTGTCCATTACGAATTGAAGCGATCGTTATTAGATTCACTGCAACTATAAACGAAATGCAGCATCCCCGACGAAAGGAGGGGAGCCGATCAATACTTACCCAACGAATTCCGGCACGCTTGAGATCACCGTTTATACAAGTCCTCAACGGAGTTTTACAACTATTATTAATTAGTAATTAAATAAAGAAATAACAAGAAGCGATAGCATAACAAGGATGTGGGGTAAGTTTATGTTGGCGGCGCCCAGGTAAGAAGTCGGGTAAATATGCTCCACGTTCAGGATGAACGTACGTATTTCCATAGGATGGAGGGTAATTTTCAAATCCTCTTCCCCCACTCTGACGGGCTTAGGCTGGACCTTCTTCTCTCCTTTAATTGGAAACTGCAAACGCACGTTGTCCGCCTTCAGCTGGTTGGAACCCAGCGTGGTCTCGGTGAACGACTTGATTTCGAAGGATGTTAGCAAGCCCTGCAAGAACTCTGTAGTGGGCCTACGCTAAGAAGAGCACGACAAACCTTGAGGTCGACGGTCACGGGAGTGCCCAAGCTTGCGTCGTCGTCTTTGCTGAACGGGTGCTCGAGCCTGAAGAGGAGCTGCTTGGCACCCAAACTTTCCAATGTGAGCAGACGAACGTTATCGGGCAAAGAACGTGTGAGTCCGGCAAACTGGAAGTTAAGCATGTGAGGGAAGTTTCAACGCGGAACTCTCACCTCGAAGTTCATCTTCTGCCTTAAAGTGGTAAAGTTGTTCTCTTTCGCGTTGTATTTACCTACAAACGTCCATGGGGACAGCAGGAGACGGTGGGCCAAATTTACCTGTTGGACGGATCCTGAAACTATTAATACAAAATGGTTATGGGAGGTGACGACCAATAACATACCCACCTTTGTTCGTGCCCAGCACCATGTAGTGGCGGCCTCGAGCAACGACTCCCTGGCCGTACTCCTTCTCGTCCAAAACCTCGTCGACCCCATACTCGTCGTCGTTCATCAACCGTCGGTGCAGCTGCAAAAATCAGATTATGCCATTGCTGGAAACTGTTTCTGAATTCATGGCGATAGTGATAAGTTCAAGATCAAGATCAAGCAATTTTCGTTTCCTTGGGGGTGTTCCATACCCCCCTTCAGCTACCCCCTTTGCAGAAAAGTTTTGTCCTCTTCATGTGAGCGCCAACGCTAAACGTTTTTGAGGAAGAACGTAGCACTGGGGGATCTGTGGTGTGCAATACCCCCCAGGTTCCAAAAAAACGTTTACCGTTGGCCCAAACGTTTTTGCAAAGAACGTAGAACCGAGGGGTCTAGGGGGAATGGAATACCTCCAGGAAAAAATACACAATTAATCTTCAAACGGCCATAAGATATTCCATACTTCCCAGACCTTCCGTTCCTTCCAAAAAAGCACTTAATGTTCGCACCCACATGAAGAAGACCAAACGTTTTGGCAAAGAATGTAGAATCGGGGATCTAGGGGGAATGGAACACCCCCAGCAAAAAAACACAATCAATCTTCAAGACCCTAAAACGGTCACAAGGTATTCCATACCTCCCAGACCCCCGGTGCTACGTTCCTCCTCAAAAGGTTCAGCGTTGGCACTCAAATGAAATGGGCCAAACATTGTTGCAACGAACGACAGAATCAATTTCCATTCCCCCCAAAGGTCATAAGATTTTCGTTTAGTGGGGGGTTTTCTATACCCCCAGAACCCCCCGGTGTTACGTTCCTTCCAAAAAAACGCTTACCGTTGGCACCCACATGAAGAAGACCAAACGTTTTGGCAAAGAATGTAGAACCGGGGATCTAGGGGGAATGGAATACCCCCAGCAAAAAAACACAATCAATCTTCAAGACCCTAAAACGGTCACAAGGTATTCCATACCTCCCAGACCCCCGGTGCTACGTTCCTCCTCAAAAGGTTCAGCGTTGGCACTCAAATGAAATGGGCCAAACATTGTTGCAACGAACGAATATCCATTGCCCCAAAATGGTGATAAGATTTTCGTGTACTGGGGAGTTTTCGATACTCCCAGAACTCCCCCCCCCCCCGGTGATGCGTTCCTTCCAAAAAAACGCTTACCGTTCGCACCCACATGAAAAGGACCAAACGTTTTTGCAAAGAACGTAGAACCGGGGGTCTAGGGGGAAAGGAATGCCCCCTGGAAAAAGTACACAATAAATTTTCAAGACCCTACAACGACCATAAGGAATTCCATATCCCTCAGACAGGTTGTTCCCTCGTGTATAAGGAGCTGAAACACCTCCTCGCACATTATAACCTCCTGATACCAAACTGGAAAAGATGTAAAACGAAATTTGGATTCGAAATACTTTTGTGGGTAATGGGAAAAGACCTCCTCGACTATTATGTTCTCCTGGTAGCCAGACAAAATTTTACAATAATTTTCTGATTGGCCCTTCGTGTATTAGGAGCTGAAACACCTCCTCACAAATTATAACCTCCTCATACCAAATTGGAAAAAATTTAAAACGAAATTTGGCTTCGAAATATTTTGGTGGGTGATGGGAAAAGACCTCCTCGACTGTTATGTTCTCCTGGTAGCTACATAAAATTTTACAATAAGTTTCTGATTGGTACTTCGTGTGTTAGTAGCTGAAACACCTCCTCGCACTTTATAACCTCCTGATACCAAATTGGAAAAATTTAAAACGAAATTTGGCTTCCAAATACTTTTGTGGGTGATGGGAAAAGACCTCCTCGATTATTATGTTCTCCTGGTAGCCAGACAAAATTTTAAAAGAATTTTCTGAATGTCCCCTCGTGTATTAGGAGTTGAAACTTCTCCTCGCACATTATATTCTCCTGATACCAAATTGGAAAAGATTTAAACCGAAATTTGGCTTCGAAATATTCTTGTGGGTGATGGGAAAAGACCTCCTCGACTATTATGTTCTCCTGGTAGCCAGACAAAATTTTATAAGGATTTTCTGATTGGCACTTCGTGTATTAGGAGCTGAAACACCTCCTCGCACATTATAACCTCCTGATACCAAATTGGAAAAGATTTAAAACGAAATTTGGCTTCGAAATATTTTTGTGGGTGATGGGAAAAGACCTCCTCGACTATTATGTTCTCCTGGTAGCCAGACAAAATTTTAAAAGAATTTTCTGATTGTCCCCTTGTGGATTAGGAGCTGAAACACCTCCTCGCACATTATAACCTCCTGATACCAAATTGGAAAAGATTTAAAACGAAATTTGGCTTCGAAATATTTTTGTGTGTGGGAAGGGTGGAATGCGAGGGTTGGCTAGTGTTATGTTCCGCATGTTCTTCTGTGACTGTGTTAGAGCAGAGGTTTTTCCCGCGCAGTGCACCACTCCTGTAGTCCGATTCCAGCGTCTCCTCTCGTCATTCGTCATCGAACCGTAAAAGTGCTCGACCCTGGCTCATTACGGTGGTACCGACTTTGTGCATGGTTCACCTTGGCACTTACATAAAATACGTTTGGTCGTTTTCATGTGGGTACCATAAGTAAACGTTTTTTGGGAGGAACGATCTGCGGAGGTATGAAATACAACGGAATTGATATTTTAACTTGTAAAGGACAGTGGAGCAGTGAAGGAAATTTCAGCGTAGAATTGTGCAATTACATTAAGTCCAAATTCACAATACTTTTTTCATTTAACATTCATTAATTGAAGTGAATACATAATACACTTGCGTGTGGTCTAATTGCTTCGAAATAAATGCTAAGGGCTTGCTTTAGGGGCAAGACTTAATTAAGATTAACATTGACTCAATTGTGCGTTACTCTTTACTAATGTTAATAAGAATTTAGCCTTTGCGCGATTACGTGTCCGGATAACGTCAATTATTTGTAATTGGAGTGAAGTTTGTCCAAATATGCGAGCAGCTAACGTTAATTGTATTAAATTTCGCTGAGAATGAATATTATTCCCTTTTCCTTGTTTCTCATTTATTTGCCTTTATGTAAAATTAAATTTTATTACATAATGGACACAAATTGGAGGATTTCACAGAATTTTGTTCTGGTTTAGGGTAGTTGAAGACAGTAAGACCGGGATTGAACCTGAAACTTTGGTTCCGCAAAGTGCAGGAGATTTCACTGCAGCTGTCAGTGAGGCCATAATTGAGTCTTAAATTTAGGTTCCGTAGGCTGGTTCGTGGTTGACTGAAAGTTAAGGGCTGAGTCTACTACAAAGAAGTGCGCTGATGAAGCATCAGAGGCAGGATCAACAATACCAAATCGCTTTTAGAGTGAAATAAAAGATCCAGAAGGACGACCAGGAAGCAGAGGCTTACCATTAGCTCAATTTCGCCGCTCTTCAAACTGGAGCCGCCCTGAGATCGATCGTTCAATATCGCCACGCTGATATCCTTCTCCTCGTCCTTAATCGCGATCCTCGACGTTACCGGGTAGTAATTTCCGCTGATCGGCTGTTCGTTCGTGTAGGCGTAGGTGGGGCGCGTGTTACGCGTGCGCTTCACGAGCTGTCGGCCGTTGGAGTCGGTATAGAAGGTCGCGCCGCTATTCAAATCGGTGGTATATCGCGTGATCACCTCCACCCCCAAATTGTCGCTGCAACGCGTCGTGACGGTTGAAAGACAAGCGCAAAGCCAGAAACTTACACGTAACCGAGCGGTCCCACGATCCAATCGAACTCGACGTAGTTCGCGTCTTTGTAAACCCGAATGACCTGCTTGAGCCAGTCGGCGTACGTCTGGTGCACTTCGTCGTAGAGCTCGCCTTTGTACGTGGAAAACTTGACTTGATCCCCGATCACTTGCGCAACCGTGCCGGGCACAGGGCGGAAAATGTAAGCGCCGGACGCACGCACTCCATCGGTACGATTGCTCGCCTTGTAATAGAGGAACTGCTGGGAAACCGACTGCCGTACACCGTTAAGGGTAACCGACTTAAGCAGGCCCGTGGCTTGGTCAAGTTCGATGCCCGTGGTCTGAAAGTTTTAGTTTAATTAAGAGTTTGAAAGGTAAATACTTACGCTTGTGCCCAGGGTAGTATCGAGTGTCGGTTTTATTAAGTTTGGCTCGTTGACTTTTTGATCTTCTTTGACTACGTAGAAGTAATTGACGCCAAGAGGTCCAATGTCTTTGACTTCGAAGGTGAGCTCGTAAAGTGACGCCGTTCCGGGTACATTGGGGAAGGTGTCGATTACTGGGGATATTTGGGCTGGTATCTTTCCACCTATACATTGACATTGAGGTATAGCGTTGGCTGTATTGGCTTCCATAGTTTTGAATTTCCCGCGCAACAAAGAACAATTTTTAAAGGGTAAGTTTATAAGGGGATTATTTTCAATACGTACTTCGTTAATTACTAAGATATCACGTGGGAGGGATTTCCACTTTTGAGTTTTTTTTGTTTGATTTTGATCTTTAAGTGAACACAGAAGGGGTCCGTTAACTTGGCCCCCCCTCCACTGTTAGATTTGATAGTCGTATTATTTTAAAATGAATGCGCTTGTTATGCGCTCATATGCGCCACCGATAATAACTCTTGCGCCATTATCGTTTTTTAGAAATCCGAAAAAACATTTGGGGGGGGCCAAGTGCACGGAATCCCCCATAACGTATTTTGTACCGGTAACTAGGTCACCTGATACATCTGGTTATGAGCTCAATTGCGCCACTTGAATTAAAGCTAGCGCCATTACGGTTAAGCCATAAAAAATTTGTAAAAAGTGGGGGGGGGGGGCTAACTTAACTTTTTCAAAAGTTAAGTTTTTTAACGTGTTTTTCTACTACATCGTACCTTTCATCATGCGCTAAAATGCGCCGTAAACAAAAATCTTTTCAGAAACACTATACAGGGTGTTTTTTTTTTAGCTTTAGTTAAACGTTTGTGGGTAAGTAAAATAGGTAGGTTTTTAAAAATGTGTACCTAGGAGTTACTCCGAAGGCCGAATCGATGTAAAATATTTTCAAAATGGACGCACTTCAAGAAATACCGGAAGTGGCTAGTAACTTCGTTATTTTAAATAGCAACCCCTATTTTTTATTACATTTTTGGATTCTACGTGACATTTCAGTTCTTTTGATATCCACATATTGAATCTACCATTTATGATTTTTAAGTTATTTTGACTTTAAGAAAAGAAATGGCGGATGCAGATGGTACTTTGATAATTGATTACTTGAAACTTTTGAAAACGCTAAGTTAGACCCTCCACTTTTTAAAAACTTAACCGTAATGGCGCTAGCTTTAATTCAAGTGGCGCAATTGAGCACATAACCAGGTGTATCAAGTGGCACAAACATCGGTAGCAAAATGCGTTATGGGGGGTTCCGTTCACTTGGCCCCTCCCAAATATATTTAAGGATAACCAAAAAACAATAATGGCGCAAAGATATCTTTTTACGGCGCATTTCAAGCGCATACCTGAGAGTACAATTTCGTATGAAAAGATGTTAAAAAAAAGTAACTTTTAAAAACGTTAAGTTGGCCCCCCCACTTTTTGAAAATTTGTCACGGCTTAACCGTAATGGCGCTCGCTTTAATTCAAGTGGCGCAATTGAGCGCATAAGCAAATGTATCAGGTGACCTAGTTACAAGCGACAAAATACGTACTGGGGAGGGGGCTACGTTCACTTGCCCCCCCCCACCCAATTTTTTTTCGGATTTCTAAAAAACGACAATGGCGCAAGAGTTATTATCGGTGGCGCATATGAGCGCATAACGAGCGCATTCATTTTAAAATAATACGACTTTCAAATCTCTCAGTGGGGGGGGGGGCCAAGTTAACGGACCCAAACAGAAGCGTAGTTCTGTACACACTTAGGATATGACACCGTTTAAACGACATGCCTTACCATGTAATCCTATAACGGAGTAGCTCGCCGATACTACCGGAATTCTCACGAAATGCGAAATCTCTTTGCCATGAGGATTGTAAACGGCAACGGTGAACTGATCATTTTCCGCTTCAGCGCAACGAGATACGTTTGCTAAAAGGCACGAGGTCAGGGTGACGATCTCGCTGGCATCGCTGATGTTGTTTTTGAGCAAGTCACTGAAACAAGTAACATTCACCAAAAACGGCGACTCGGCTCGGACTTACAAGACGATGGTCTGCAGGGATGTCTGAACGTCGCCCGCCGCGGCAGACATCATTTTGACGTAGTCGTTCGTGACGTGCTGTTTTTCGGTGCCGGTGATGGCATCGTGATGTTGCATGACTCCCATTACCCGTTTCAGCCCGAGCAGGTCAGCCTCAAAGGTCTTGTTATGCGGATGCTCGAATGCTACCAGATGTTTGGCCACCTAAAACATTATTCACCTTAGAAGTCTCTTTTTTGAAAATCATTTTTTGGGACGCTTTCTTCAGTTACTAATTGGAGATCTTCCAGATCTGTTGGCTGACAACACCATGAGGGTTACCAAAAAGAGGAGGTTCTCGGGCCGGAAACCGGCACCGTTACCGTCTCACCCAAAAAATCCATGGCCGATATGAAAAATCCAGACGGAACTGGAAAAATATAGCTAGCTTATAGAGGAAAAATGGCATCGATACTTCAGGAATCTCAAGGTGGCCGCGGTCCAGGGGTGGCAGTAGCCGTCCTTGAGAAAACCAAGAAAGCTCATCTCAACAACGAACAAGAAGAGCAGTAAAACGGTGGACACATAGATACGAGGATTCAAGGGATAGCGATGACAGCAGGGCGAACCTACCCCAAAAGAGAGAGGAGTGAACAAGACAGCCCCGATGGGGAAAACCAAAGACGCAATATCCGACAGAGGGGTCACGTTACTGGAGGATAATCGTTAGAGGTGACCGAACTGCGGTATCCACCACAGACAAAGTGCTAGGAGCAGTTTTGAAAGTGGTGCCAGCGGCCAAATGTAATGTACTCTGGGAAGTGAGGTGGGGCAGAAGGGGTGGTCTACGGCTTTTCGTGGACGACTACGCCAGAACCGTGACAATCGGGATGACAGGCTAGGACAAGGGCACGGGCGCGTATGGGTGCGAGTAGAAGGGGTGTATGTGTATAGTGTCCACTGCCCCCTCCTTCCCCTCCTCGAAGAGGACATACAACTTGAAACCAGGCTACAGGCTTTGCAGGAGGAAATAAGGACAAATAGGGTTGAGAAGGTTGCCGGGAACAGTAACGGGGCATCACCCACGCGTGGTTCGCAAAACACCAACAACCGCAGGGGGAGAATATAGTGCAAGAATGTGACACTCCACTTCGTTCTTCTAAACGATGGACGGGCGCCTAACTTTGTAAGAAGAAGCAGTAAACCATTCGTTGACGCGACTGTGGGGAACTGGAGGGTCGACGAATCGGAAACGTTCAGCGTGCGGGAGTGACAGATTCATACTCCTCGGAAGGAGAGTGTAAAACAAGTTCGGTGGAACAGCAGGAGGATAGACCGCGCAGCTCCAGAAACCACGACACCATCGAGAGGCAATGAAGCCGCGTTATATCGTACTAATCTATACTTGAACCTTGAAGGTTAGGTATGAAGTCAATGACGTCGGATGAGCTTGGGAATGTATGGGTTCGAAGACCTTGGCGGACCTTGGAAATTAAATTGAAACCCAAAAATTGGGTCAATGGCCTCGAGTGACCTTGGAAAGGTGCGGGGTCAATAACTTTGAATACGCCTGGGAATGTAATTTGACACCCCAAAAATGAAGTCATTGACCTTGGGAATGTATGGGCTCAATGACTTCGGGAATGTAATTCGACACTTTAAAATGAGAATGAAATTTAACAAACCAATAAAAATGGAGTCGGTGGCCTCAGATAATGACCTTGAGAATGTAATTCGACACCCCCTACCAAATGGAGACACTGACCACGATTTTCCAAGCTTACAGCCACGGGACCTTGAACTACTTCCCAAGGTTACCACCAGATGGCGAGCGACCAGGAATTTTTCATCATTCTAAATTTACACGTATTATGCCTAAAATAGGCTGCAAGAGTTCTTTCATTTATGCTAATTTTCATTAGGAATAATTTTAAATATTAATTGTCTTTCTTAGGAAAAGCAATGGGGTACATTCAATACATTTTAGGGATGATTAGGCAGGAATTTTTTAACATTTTGGATTTATTCTAAATTTGCACGTATTATGCCCAAAATAGGCTGCAAGAGTTCTTTCATTTATGCTAATTATCATTAGGAATAATTTTAAATCTTAATCGTCTTTCTTAGGAAACGCAATGGGGTAGGGCCAATACATTTTAGGGATGATTAGGCAGGAATTTTTCAACATTTTGGATTTATTCTAAATTTGCACGTATTATGCCCAAAATAGGCTGCAAGAGTTCTTTCATTTATGCTAATTATCATTAGGAATAATTTTAAATCTTAATCGTCTTTCTTAGGAAACGCAATGGGGTAGGGCCAATACATTTTAGGGATGATTAGGCAGGAATTTTTCAACATTTTGGATTTATTCTAAATTTGCACGTATTATGCCCAAAATAGGCTGCAAGAGTTCTTTCATTTATGCTAATTATCATTAGGAATAATTTTAAATCTTAATCGTCTTTCTTAGGAAACGCAATGGGGTAGGGCCAATACATTTTAGGGATGATTAGGCAGGAATTTTTCAACATTTTGGATTTATTCTAAATTTGTACGTATTAAGCCCAAAAATTAGGCTGCAAGGGTTCTTTCATTTATGCTAATTTTCATTAGGAATAATTTTAAATCTTAATCGTCTTTCTTAGGAAACGCAATGGGGTAGATTCAATACATTTTAAGGATGATTAGGCAGGAATTTTTCAACATCTTGGATTTATTCTAAATTTACAAGTATTATGCCTAAAATAGGCTGCAAGAGTTCTTTCATTTATGCTAAATTTCATTAGGAATAATTTTAAATCTTAATCGTCTTTCTTAGGAAACGCAATGGGGTAGATTCAATACATTTTAGGGATGATTAGGCAGGAATTTTTCAACATTTTGGATTTATTACAAATTTACACGTATTATGCCCAAAATAGGCTGCAAGAGTTCTTTCATTTATGCTAAATTTCATTAGGAATAATTTTAAATCTTAATCGTCTTTCTTAGGAAACGCAATGGGGTAGATCCAATACATTTTAGGGATGATTAGGCAGGAATTTTTCAACATTTTAGATTTATTATAAATTTACACGTATTATGCCCAAAATACAGGAAGAGTGATTGTAAAAATGAGTTATTAATGGTAAAGACGAGGAAAAAGGAGTGGTGAAGCAAAGAATAGGAAGCGAAATTCAGAAAAAGGGGCCCGAGGGGGTAAGAAAAACAAGATCTGCATCTATCTTCGAGAAAGGTCTGTGGAACCAGTTGAACTCCTGAGGGAGTCAATGTCCCCTATAAAAAAAAAGTGGAGAATGAAAGATAATCAGCAGGAATATACAGGGTGTTTGGTAAACATGCGGCAAAAATGAAAGAGGTTATTCCTTGGACTATTCTAATGATATTTTATCCTTTGATGATTTTTGAAAAAACGCATTCGAATAATGAGCCATGATAGAGGATTTCACAAACAACCGTTTAAGTAATAAGGGCAGAAATTACACATGTATCTTCGCAACGAAGCGTTTTTTCAAAAATCATCAAAGGATAAAATAACATTAGAATAGTCCAAGGAATAACCTCTTTCATTTTTGCCGCATGTTTACCAAACACCCTGTAGGAGTGGGGGCAATACGCATATGGGGATAAATATATTGTAGTAACTGAAAAAAAAATGATATTGGCAAAAGAATGAGTAGAAAGTGACAAAACAACCTTGGATGAACAGAAACGAGAGAAAATAGATGAAGAATGAAGAAGAGCAGTAGCATGTAAACAACCTAGACACAGGGTGGTATAACGAAAACGAAACACACTGAATAACTAGTAAAAAATACAAATACATGTCGAATTTGGTTTGTTTTATTTATTTATTGTCTCTCTCTTGTTCTGGGCCCTCAAGAGGATTTCGGATACGTTTAAATGGGGTACCTCTCCAGGAAGAACGTCCCGCTCGATCTCGCCCGAAGAGACTCAAAAGGTCCACGTCCACTTCTCATGACATCCATTATTTGAACCTACACTTTTTTATAACTTTCATAAGTAAAATTTTATCACGTAATAATATTAATAAACTGGATTTGTTCCTGGTTGCCTATTTATTGTCCTGATATCAAAAATATAAGTTAAAATGGAAAATATCAAGAGTGTATGAATAAAGAAAATGATGAAAATTTTGACTTTTCACCGGTGAACGATAATGTGGGAAGGAGCCAAAGAAAATTTAATGCTCTACAGCTTTGTCGAAGGCGGCTTTTTTATCAGATCATCGGTTTACAGGAAATAATGAAAAACGTGAAGTAAAAACGGATTTGTTAAAAATTTCCGACTTTCCGAAGCTTATATCTCGGAAACCGTTCGGAATTTTGAAAAGTGTATAAGACCAAATTGTAGACAATTTTATGAGCTTTAATTTTGCTAATAAACAATTTTTTCATACGACGCACCGTTTTCGAGATATCAGCGGAAAACCGAAAATGTTGGATCTCTGCGCCCCTCCCCTCGGGAAGGCTCCGGTCGGAATCCGGGGACTTTGAGTATGTTTACCTCCTAAGGGGTCCAAACAAGCGTCTGAATGCTCGTTCGTTGCCTGGACTATGAAATGGACTTGCGATACGCAGGTGGCGCACATTAAAAACAATCTAGCACGAGAGAGGGTGGGTCTCTAAAAAATTTGCGGATAACCTCAAAGTACAGGAGGCAATTTTTAGTCCATAAATAAAAGTATTGTAAAATCTGGAAATAAGCCTAGAATTGTTTAAGCAAAGTGTACGTAAACTTACAACGATGTGTTGGTCTTTTGAGTGGATGTACTCCAGATAATGTCCACATAGGAGGGAGTTCACCCTCGTAAAGTACTTTACGTATCGGTTTGCTCGTTTTCGGGCACATAAAAGAAATGTAGGTACAGCAACTGACTAATCAATGTAGGTACGTTAGCCCCGGTTTTTTTGGATGTTTTGCGTACACAAAGGGCTGACCTTCAAAATTGTAAACGAAACGAAATACGCACCCTTTACTTTGTACCCGCGTTGGTTGCTCTCGATGTTAAACAATACCATGAATACGCACACATACACCGCAATTTAAGAATCGTGGCGGCTGCTGAACGCGCGCGGATTACACGAAATTTCAGCGCCAGCGACGCGCCGGGTACTGGTGGTTTCGTGCGCTGCTGGGGCGTCCCAGGCGTCGAGTCGATCGCGTCGACCGTGAACATTTCACATACAAAACGCAGGCGTCCTTTCAACCACCGTGACGTCACCATGTACCAAAACGTCATCGTAAACTACCCTTGAATTGTGCATCCACCGAAAATGTAATGGCTCATCCCCAAAAATACGCGAAATTCGCTTTTTTTTCGAAAGCTCCCCGTTATCGATTTGCCCAAATCCGTCCACTTTGCGTGCCCGAAGCGGCTAATATATTTGCACTTGTTACATGAACTTGGCTCGAACGTCACTCACAGAAGTGCGGCATAACGCCTTACTTACGTCCCTTTTAATTAAATTTCACGAGTCCGCATAAAAGCGTGCTTAGAAAATATGCGCCATTTCGTTATTTATGTTTGACATGACGGCAGTGGTACTAAAACTTGCGCAAAGAAATCTATTCGATACCTCTAAAGGTCTTTTTCTTTTTATTGTTTTTGGCAACTCTCTTTTACTGCCAAAAACCCTTTTCCCGCAAATGGCATAAACTTTAATGAAAAAACGTATAGTGAAGGAAGTAAAATGTAGAAGAGCTCCCTAACATTCATAATAGAACGACCTTAGGGGTCATGGTACAATTTACAGGGCGGACGCATTTTAAAAGCGCAATTTTTCGGAGGGCAAGCTGGGAATTATCGAGACAGTTCCCAAAAAATCTGGAACTATTCGCAACTAAGCAGGAGGACGTGCCATACTTGTACAGTTCACGCCCAATCATAATCTAAGCAGACAACGGGAGTTTACGCGTTAAGAAACGAGTGATCTCGATGAAGCCCGAACCGCGGAATTAATCATAGTGGACATAGGGAACCCGCAACCGAGACGAAGCAACAGTGCGCGACGGAAGAGACTGTGGACTGGTGGGGGAGCAGAGTTAGGAGAATGATAATGGTTGACAATGTGAGGAAAGACGGTTTTCTCGAGCGCCACCGGGTGATATTTCCTTGCCCCCGGTCAACGTCTGTGGTTCCGGAACGGTGCGGTTGCCACGGGGAACCCAGTCAGAGAACGGTCATCGAGGTCGATCACTGGCGAAACCCTAAAGCAGAACTAATGAAAGTAGATGCCCCCCTTAGAATCAACGGAAATGAAACATCACGCCTCGGGTGATACAATCCGGAACGGTGCGGTTCAGTCAGAGAACGGTCATTCGATCACTACCCTAGAACTAATGAAAGTAGACGAATGAAATGATCACGCTCAATTTCGATCCGAAAGGGAACGCTAAAAATTTAATTAATTTCTAGGTTCCCTGCCATCCTAAAAATATGGGAGGGAGCTCAAACGTCTTGATAAATTAGATGCGCTTCCAATGATACTAAACAGTCTAATCAGCCGTTTTCTGGAACACATCTGATTACCTACCGGAAAATTATACTTACTTAATTGACCGGGTTGAAATTCTAAAAATCGAAAGTCCAATAAACACCCATTGAATTTTCGGGCCAGGCATAGACCTGTATTATCTACGTAAACTGCACTACCTATCTGGCCGTAATACTCATTTTAACATTGGAAAATCAAAATCGACTGATAATTAACTAACGAAGATCAGAAAATATTATTTTTCTCTCATCTTCCAAATTGGCTTTTGGGTGCTGCAACAATAATTTAAATATCACCACGGGAACGGTTACAAAGTGATAAATTGGCGGTTAAAACAATTAATTCGTACTTCATTGTTGCCTCTTGGAATATAAATAATTCTGGAGGTTACAGAATACACCTGGATTTGTCGAAGAAATGGAAAGATACAAAGAAGAGAGATACAGTTATGTTACATAAGTAGATTAGAGGAACAATAAAGAAATAAGAGAGAGTAGAGAGGAAATGAAGGGGAAGAAAGGAGTGGTGGGACAGAGTGTAGAAAAACAGACAGAATAATTATGGGGAAAGAAAGATGAGGAGAGACTGAGAGAACAAATAAAGCACACAGGAAAATGCATGTTACTAAGATATTACAAGAGGAGGTGATACAGGATGAAGAAGGAGAAGAGGTGGAAAGAGACGAGATATCAAGAAAATAATCTAACAAATAAACAAAAATGTTCGGTGTACTACGTAAAGGAACAACCCCAGCAATACAAAAGTGCTTTACATGCAGGTATGAATGTCTTAAAAAATTTGGCAAACCTAAAGTAGACAGAAATTTATAAATAAAGGGTTGTTTAAGGGTTGGTTACAAATTATTTAAACATTATCTAACAAATAAACAAAAATGTAGGGTGTACAAGGAACGAAAGCAGATTCTGGTAAACTAAACAGTGAAGAAAGGGAAGGAAGAGATCAAATAAGAAATGATGCTAAGGAACCAAATAAGCAAGATATGAAAAGGAGGAGGACTACCGGAAGAATGGAAGGAAGAAGATTTGCAAAAGAATAGACAAAGACTGTGGGGAAGATTATATTATATTGAATGAAAGATTAGAAGAATGAATAGAGAAGATTTTAGAGGAACCTCACATGGATTTAGAAAAAGGAGAACTATCGGTTGTATTGTGTAAACAACAGCATTTCGGTCTAAACACCAAAATTAATGACGGTATACCCTGTATATGAGACTATTATAATTTATTAAGTGTAAATCTGAAGGATCATCACGAATAAACACAAAGTTGGTTTATTGTATTTGAATTTGTTATCTCAGTGGCTATTTTTCCTTTTAGAATTGGTTGTAATTGCGTAATATTGTTTACATATTTTCGCGATTTTGTAATTATTAGATGCTTTAAGTAAGACACATCTGGTCAAGTTTGCTTTATTTAAAAATAAGGTTACATTTGGTCGTTTGCGATTAGTCTTTTCAAGCGAAAATTAATTAACGCACGTGTTATATCGCGGTTAAGAGATAAGGCGTTTTACGATGTACGCGTTATTTTCGAGGTAAGTGTTCTTTCAAAGCTGGCGTTACCAAGTCCGTTATTTGAATGGAGGAAGGAGTTTGTTTGATGGAGGACGTGGTGTTTCTTTAAATACTGGAGTCGACGTAAAAACGAGGCCGCTGCTAGCTGTTAGTTGTCAGCTTAGACCTTTCTAAAAGGTTTGCCTCTCATAAAAAACCTGTGAACGTCCTTTTAAGGCCCTTAAAAAATCTTAGAAAATCTCATAGATCACAAAAGGCTCATCTAGAACGCATCTGTTGTCAGTTACCACGGCAGCGGACCTCTCTAGCGCAGCAGCTCTCTTTTGCCGTGACCAAAATTTCGTTAGACACAAAATATGCTGCTGTGCTGTCGGTATAAAATTGACGCGAGACTCTAAAGTTTCGTTGATTCCGTTTTAGTTTCATATAAATAGCTGAGTACACAGCTAGACGAAATTCGAGGCGTGCCGATAAGCGTCGCTGACTTAGCCAGCAAGTAGCGATTTAACCAGTGCAGAAAGAACGATCATGTAATCACGGCTATAACGCGAGTGTAGTATCGAGGTGAAACACCGGAAATGCTCGGGAAACGTCTTTATTACAGTTCATGAACAAATTGCATAATAATAATAATAATAATTGCATCTTTGTTTGTTTTTCAATTAGATCAAATTAGTTTAGGTTTGTCAAACGGATACTTCACTTCACGATTATTATTGCATGTTTTTTGGGTAAAATTCCTTATTTACCATTTAAAATTATGTTAAAAACTCAACCAAAATAGAACACACTGTACAAAATTGGCTATAATTTTTTACCTCTCGCTTTTCTCATCTGACCCGATTAGAGTAGTCCCCAACCTGTGCGTATCAAATGAAATAATCAACACTATTTATTTATTTAAAAAGTTGACAATTGATTTTACACAACTGATGAGAATTAAAGAATGTAATGTAGACTATTGCGGGCAAGTTCGTCTAGGAGCAAGTGTCATTTTGTCTGGGAAATTTTGTCCATTACGAATTGAAGCGATCGTTATTAGATTCACTGCAACTATAAACGAAATGCAGCATCCCCGACGAAAGGAGGGGAGCCGATCAATACTTACCCAACGAATTCCGGCACGCTTGAGATCACCGTTTATACAAGTCCTCAACGGAGTTTTACAACTATTATTAATTAGTAATTAAATAAAGAAATAACAAGAAGCGATAGCATAACAAGGATGTGGGGTAAGTTTATGTTGGCGGCGCCCAGGTAAGAAGTCGGGTAAATATGCTCCACGTTCAGGATGAACGTACGTATTTCCATAGGATGGAGGGTAATTTTCAAATCCTCTTCCCCCACTCTGACGGGCTTAGGCTGGACCTTCTTCTCTCCTTTAATTGGAAACTGCAAACGCACGTTGTCCGCCTTCAGCTGGTTGGAACCCAGCGTGGTCTCGGTGAACGACTTGATTTCGAAGGATGTTAGCAAGCCCTGCAAGAACTCTGTAGTGGGCCTACGCTAAGAAGAGCACGACAAACCTTGAGGTCGACGGTCACGGGAGTGCCCAAGCTTGCGTCGTCGTCTTTGCTGAACGGGTGCTCGAGCCTGAAGAGGAGCTGCTTGGCACCCAAACTTTCCAATGTGAGCAGACGAACGTTATCGGGCAAAGAACGTGTGAGTCCGGCAAACTGGAAGTTAAGCATGTGAGGGCCGTTTCAACGCGGAACTCTCACCTCGAAGTTCATCTTCTGCCTTAAAGTGGTAAAGTTGTTCTCTTTCGCGTTGTATTTACCTACAAACGTCCATGGGGACAGCAGGAGACGGTGGGCCAAATTTACCTGTTGGACGGATCCTGAAACTATTAATACAAAATGGTTATGGGAGGTGACGACCAATAACATACCCACCTTTGTTCGTGCCCAGCACCATGTAGTGGCGGCCTCGAGCAACGACTCCCTGGCCGTACTCCTTCTCGTCCAAAACCTCGTCGACCCCATACTCGTCGTCGTTCATCAACCGTCGGTGCAGCTGCAAAAATCAGATTATGCCATTGCTGGAAACTGTTTCTGAATTCATGGCGATAGTGATAAGTTCAAGATCAAGATCAAGCAATTTTCGTTTCCTTGGGGGTGTTCCATACCCCCCTTCAGCTACCCCCTTTGCAGAAAAGTTTTGTCCTCTTCATGTGAGCGCCAACGCTAAACGTTTTTGAGGAAGAACGTAGCACTGGGGGATCTGTGGTGTGCAATACCCCCCAGGTTCCAAAAAAACGTTTACCGTTGGCCCAAACGTTTTTGCAAAGAACGTAGAACCGAGGGGTCTAGGGGGAATGGAATACCTCCAGGAAAAAATACACAATTAATCTTCAAACGGCCATAAGATATTCCATACTTCCCAGACAAAAAAACGTTTACCGTTGGCCCAAACGTTTTTGCAAAGAACGTAGAACCGAGGGGTCTAGGGGGAATGGAATACCTCCAGGAAAAAATACACAATTAATCTTCAAACGGCCATAAGATATTCCATACTTCCCAGACCTTCCGTTCCTTCCAAAAAAGCACTTAATGTTCGCACCCACATGAAGAAGACCAAACGTTTTGGCAAAGAATGTAGAATCGGGGATCTAGGGGGAATGGAACACCCCCAGCAAAAAAACACAATCAATCTTCAAGACCCTAAAACGGTCACAAGGTATTCCATACCTCCCAGACCCCCGGTGCTACGTTCCTCCTCAAAAGGTTCAGCGTTGGCACTCAAATGAAATGGGCCAAACATTGTTGCAACGAACGACAGAATCAATTTCCATTCCCCCCAAAGGTCATAAGATTTTCGTTTAGTGGGGGGTTTTCTATACCCCCAGAACCCCCCGGTGTTACGTTCCTTCCAAAAAAACGCTTACCGTTGGCACCCACATGAAGAAGACCAAACGTTTTGGCAAAGAATGTAGAACCGGGGATCTAGGGGGAATGGAATACCCCCAGCAAAAAAACACAATCAATCTTCAAGACCCTAAAACGGTCACAAGGTATTCCATACCTCCCAGACCCCCGGTGCTACGTTCCTCCTCAAAAGGTTCAGCGTTGGCACTCAAATGAAATGGGCCAAACATTGTTGCAACGAACGACAGAATCAATTTCCATTCCCCCCAAAGGTCATAAGATTTTCGTTTAGTGGGGGGTTTTCTATACCCCCAGAACCCCCCGGTGTTACGTTCCTTCCAAAAAAACGCTTACCGTTGGCACCCACATGAAGAAGACCAAACGTTTTGGCAAAGAATGTAGAACCGGGGATCTAGGGGGAATGGAATACCCCCAGCAAAAAAACACAATCAATCTTCAAGACCCTAAAACGGTCACAAGGTATTCCATACCTCCCAGACCCCCGGTGCTACGTTCCTCCTCAAAAAGTTCAGCGTTGGCACTCAAATGAAATGGACCAAACATTGTTGCAACGAACGAATATCCATTGCCCCAAAATGGTGATAAGATTTTCGTGTACTGGGGAGTTTTCGATACTCCCAGAACTCCCCCCCCCCCCCCCGGTGATGCGTTCCTTCCAAAAAAACGCTTACCGTTCGCACCCACATGAAAAGGACCAAACGTTTTTGCAAAGAACGTAGAACCGGGGGTCTAGGGGGAAAGGAATGCCCCCTGGAAAAAGTACACAATAAATTTTCAAGACCCTACAACGACCATAAGGAATTCCATACCCCTCAGACAGGTTGTTCCCTCGTGTATAAGGAGCTGAAACACCTCCTCGCACATTATAACCTCCTGATACCAAACTGGAAAAGATGTAAAACGAAATTTGGATTCGAAATACTTTTGTGGGTAATGGGAAAAGACCTCCTCGACTATTATGTTCTCCTGGTAGCCAGACAAAATTTTAAAGAATTTTCTGATTGTCCCCTCGTGTATTAGGAGCTGAAACACCTCCTCGCACATTATAACCTCCTGATACCAAATTCGAAAAGATTTAAAACGAAATTTGTCTTCGAAATATATTTGTGGGTAATGGGAAAAGACCTCCTCGACTATTATGTTCTCCTGGTAGCCGGACAAAATTTTAAAAGAATTTTCTGATTGTCCCCTCGTGTATTAGGAGCTGAAACACCTCCTCGCACATTATAACCTCCTGATACCAAATTGGAAAAGATTTAAAACGAAATTTGTCTTCGAAATATATTTGTGGGAGAAGGGAAAAGACCTCCTCGACTATTATGTTCTCCTGGTAGCCGGACAAAATTTTAAAAGAATTTTCTGATTGTCCCCTCGTGTATTAGGAGCTGAAACACCTCCTCGCACATTATAACCTCCTGATACCAAATTGGAAAAATTTAAAACGAAATTTGGCTTCGAAATATTTTTGCGAGTGATGGGAAAAGACCTCCTCGACTATTATGTTCTCCTGGTAGCCGGACAAAATTTTAAAAGAATTTTCTGATCGTCCCCTCGTGTATTAGGAGCTGAAACACCTCCTCGCACATTATAACCTCCTGATACCAAATTGGAAAACATTTAAAACGAAATTTGTCTTCGAAATATTTTTGTGAGTGATGGGAAAAGACCTCCTCGACTATTATGTTCTCCTGGTAGCCGGACAAAATTTTGCAAGAATTTTCTGATTGTCCCCTCGTGTATTAGGAGCTGAAACACCTCCTCGCACATTATAACCTCCTGATACCAAATTGGAAAAATTTAAAATGAAATTTGGCTTCGAAATGTTTTTGTGAGTGATGGGAAAAGACCTCCTCGACTATTATGTTCTCCTGGTAGCCGGACAAAATTTAAAAAGAATTTTCTGATTGTCCCCTCGTGTATTAGGAGCTGAAACACCTCCTCGCACATTATAATCTCCTGATACCAAATTGGAAAAATTTAAAACGAAATTTGGCTTCAAAATATTTTTGTGGGAGAAGGGAAAAGACCTCCTCTACTATTGTGTTCTCCTGGTAGCCGGACAAAATTTTGCAAGAATTTTCTGATTGTCCCCTCGTGTATTAGGAGCTGAAACACCTCCTCGCACATTATAACCTCCTGATACCAAATTGGAAAAGATTTAAAACGAAATTTGTCTTCAAAATATTTTTGTGGGAGAAGGGAAAAGACCTCCTCGACTATTATGTTCTCCTGGTAGCCGGACAAAATTTTAAAAGAATTTTCTGATTGTCCCCTCGTGTATTAGGAGCTGAAACACCTCCTCGCACATTATAACCTCCTGATACCAAATTGGAAAAATTTAAAACGAAATTTGGCTTCAAAATATTTTTGTGGGAGAAGTGAAAAGACCTCCTCTACTATTATGTTCTCCTGGTAGCCGGACAAAATTTTGCAAGAATTTTCTGATTGTCCCCTCGTGTATTAGGAGCTGAAACACCTCCTCGCACATTATAACCTCCTGATACCAAATTGGAAAAGATTTAAAACGAAATTTGTCTTCGAAATATATTTGTGGGAGAAGGGAAAAGACCTCCTCGACTATTATGTTCTCCTGGTAGCCGGACAAAATTTTAAAAGAATTTTCTGATTGTCCCCTCGTGTATTAGGAGCTGAAACACCTCCTCGCACATTATAACCTCCTGATACCAAATTGGAAAAATTTAAAACGAAATTTGGCTTCAAAATATTTTTGTGGGAGAAGGGAAAAGACCTCCTCTACTATTATGTTCTCCTGGTAGCCGGACAAAATTTTAAAAGAATTTTCTGATTGTCCCCTCGTGTATTAGGAGCTGAAACACCTCCTCGCACATTATAACCTCCTGATACCAAATTGGAAAAATTTAAAACGAAATTTGTCTTCGAAATATTTTTGTGGGAGAAGGGAAAAGACCTCCTCGACTATTATGTTCTCCTGGTAGCCGGACAAAATTTTAAAAGAATTTTCTGATTGTCCCCTCATTTATTAGGAGCTGAAACACCTCCTCGCACATTATAACCTCCTGATACCAAATTGGAAAACATTTAAAACGAAATTTGTCTTCGAAATATATTTGTGGGTAATGGGAAAAGACCTCCTCGACTATTATGTTCTCCTGGTACCCGGACAAAATTTTAAAAGAATTTTCTGATTGTCCCCTCGTGTATTAGGAGCTGAAACACCTCCTCGCACATTATATCCTGATACCAAATTGGAAAAATTTAAAACGAAATTTGGCTTCGAAATATATTTGTGGGAGAAGGGAAAAGACCTCCTCTACTATTATGTTCTCCTGGTAGCCGGCCAAAATTTTAAAAGAATTTTCTGATTGTCCCCTCGTGTATTAGGAGCTGAAACACCTCCTCGCACATTATAACCTCCTGATACCAAATTGGAAAAGATTTAAAACGAAATTTGTCTTCGAAATATTTTTGTGGGAGAAGGGAAAAGAACTCCCCGACTATTATGTGCTCCTGGTAGCCGGACAAAACTTTAAAAGAATTTTCTGATTGTCCCCTCGTGTATTAGGATCTGAAACACCTCCTCGCACATTATAACCTCCTGATACCAAATTGGAATAGATTTAAAATGAAATTTGTCTTCGAAATATTTTTGTGGGAGAAAGAAAAAGACCTCCTCGACTATTATGTTCTCCTGGTATCCGGACAAAATTTTAAAAGAATTTTCTGATTGTCCCCTCGAGTATTAGGAGCTGAAAGACCTCCTCGCACATTATAACCTCCTGATACCAAATTGGAAAAGATTTAAAACGAAATTTGTCTTCGAAATATTTTTGTGGGAGAAGGGAAAAGACCTCCTCGACTATTATGTTCTCCTGGTAGCCAGACAAAATTTTAAAATAATTTTCTGATTGTCCCCTCGTGTATTAGGAGCTGAAACACCTCCTCGCACATTATAACCTCCTGATACCAAATTGGAAAACATTTAAAACGAAATTTGTCTTCGAAATATTTTTGTGGGTGATG